GGGGGGGGTGTTGGCATCTATTTACAACGATATCAGGTGCTGGAAAGTAGCACAACGGACAATAGGTTTGCCACCTTCTAATGACATGCAGGAAAGGTGGTACATGTACCTAATAAATTTAATGAAGAATTAATTTGGACATTATGGAGGAGTCCAGTTTATAGAGATACCCTAATTAGATGTAGTTTCTATCGCACCTCTGCGATATGACCCCTTTGTGTGGAACCCACTAGCCATAGAAAGATGACCAATGATAATAATGCTTGAATTAAGGTATGAGTGAGGAATTGGGTATGAATCCATTAATTTAGGATATTTTCTTCTTTATTTATTTTCTCCCCCTCTTTTCTTCCTTAGATCTACAACATGCTCTCTTAGGGATCTAGGAATATGGGCAATTGACTGACTACCATTGGGATAACTAGTCAAATGGGGCTCAGTTGGTCCTTTCTCCTCTCTCTCATATATCTTAAAAATCTCAATTTTATTTCTTTATGAGAGTGGAAATAGAAAAGTGCTGCTCCTCACAAGAATCACCTATAATGGATGAATTTCCTGTAGTGACCTAACACCCTAGGAACTACATAAGGGAATAAATAAGAGAAAGACGACCTAACCCAACTGAAGTAGAACATTGAAAGATGTACATCAAAGAAGAGAAAATTAACCTCCATATATCTATTGAATGACCAACATAAATTTCATAGTTTAAAATAGTTCCCTCCCTAGACACCTCACTAATATTCTTACTTGTCAAAAACCAAGAAGAAATAAAATAGTACCAAGCATTGGATAATTAGAAAAAAATAAGATTTAGGAAAATTAATTACCTTTTAGGTCTTTCCAGACATCCAACTCCAAGCTCCACAAAGAACTCTTAACAACTCATGAGGATTAATGGGTGCATATGTAAAGGAAAAGTAGTCACTAAACTCAATGTCCCTAAAGTTATAAATTTATTTGATACTAGGAGCATGGAATGGGACCTGTCATCTCACAAAGCATTTGTGATTATGGGATTCCTTGGCCTTGGCAAAAAATTCCCTAAGTTAACAATGTACACACTAGGCTCATCACATAATGCTCCCAACCCTTATTTATTATAATTTGCATTATTGCTAATCCATGATTTTGATAACCACATTAAAGAATTAATTTTTTGCTTATAAACAATTGTGTATATCATTCTCTGCCTTGTTGGAAATGAACTTCCTCCTATCATAGGAAGAGGATACCCTCTTCTTACTAGTCTTAATTTTTTGGGCCATTTGAGAATAGTTTGTGTAGGTAAGAGGAAACCACAAAATCATAATTGAAGAGGCTCAAAACACAGTGAAAATAATGAAACTTGTTCTTCCTATTTGTAAACTCAATAAGCACTACATTGCTATAAATGATAATGTTCTTGCACAAGGAAAAGAATTAAAAAAAATACATTTAAATTAAGAAAATACTATGTTATGAGAGGTTACATTGTGTTATAGTGCAAGCATGAGAAAATGAAGTGCCACTTTTTGACCAAATGACCGCCATGGTGTTTGATATGTACAAGGACTCTAATGCTTAGGAAAGACTACCATCACAATGCTATAACTACTAATTATGATTTTAACATAATATAACAACATTATAGCCAACATAATGGCACTCAATAAAGAGGCATAGAAAAAGAGTCATGTCATACTGCATCGTTGAATAAAATGTCATAGCACTATAGTAAGTAGAGGATTTGGAGCCACAGTGCTACACATATGAGTGTTGAAGCACTCTAAAGGGTAAGGTAGCATATCGATGCTTAAATATACAGTGTTGTGACATTGTAACATACAAATCACCCTGAGACTTTAGGTCATTACGCCTGTTTTAGATACTATTGTGTTTAATAAGCAAACACCTCAGTACTTTAAGACTCGATGCTACGGCGCAGGCTCAAATTAGCAAATTTTGAAAATTCTCATAATATCATATAACTGTCTTAGTCATAATCATACTTAATAACTTAACAATAATACACACATGCCAATTTTCATTATTATAAAATAGAAATAATAGAAATACACAAATAAATAACAACTTCAATGACAACACTTAAACATAACATCTTCAAAATTAGGCTACCTCTCAAGTAGTGTTAAGTTTATAATCTTCAACAAGACTTGCCCAGATATTAAATTTGGTTGGGTGGTATCATTACTACTCAAATTTTTCAAGCTATAATTTCCCTTTTTAAATTTGATTAACTTCAGTACTATGAGGCAAAGTTCCATGGGGCCTCTACTAAAGGATATTACAAGCAGTCCTAATTAGTTTTCTAAAGTCTTTATGGAAGCATCTTGACTTTATAATTGGTTTCCTATCTGAATAACCAAGACCTCTAAAGCTCTCTTCTTATCTCTAAAATAATTATTTTTATTAAAGCCCGGGGGATATGATGGCCTAGGTTTCACTAAAGATGGTTAAGGATTATTCCAATTTCCTATCAGTTTTATTGATTTATATTCCACTTATTTTCACCATTAGTATTATTCAAAATAAAATTAGGGTCATCTCGCCAACCTAGATTTTAAGTATTATAATATATATTAATTTATCTTTCAATTTAGTTCACATTCTCAATTTATTGAGCAGTAAACTCACTAGCATAATTCAAATCAGTCTCATATAAATGCATATGCAATCTTAAACTTTGAGTAACTCTAAAATTGTCTAACTTCTTAGGCATAGCTACTACCTGATCTATCAAAATAATAAAGCATCCATGTTACTCTCTTAAAATTCAACTATCATAAAGATACTAGAATTTTTGTGTTGTCATCTCCTCTATTAGGGCATAAGCCTCTTCAAAATGTTCCGACATCAAGGAACCTTTAAATGCTACATCAATTTTTGACCTAAGGAATCCTATAAGCTAATTATAAAAAGTTTGAATTACTAACCATTCAAGCAAAGCATGATGAGGGCACTTTCTAAAAATCTCCATAAATCTTTCTCAGCTCTCACATATTGACTCTCCTTCAAAATGAGAAAAGGAAGTAATAATATTTCTAAGCTTGGAAATTTTAGGTGTAAAATATTTGCTAGGATATTATATTCCAACTCATTCCAAGGGATTATGGAGCCTGGGAGCAAGGAATTCAAGAATATCTTAGCTTTATCCCTCATAAAAAATGTAAACAAATAAAGTCTAATAGCCGCATCATCATTGACTCGATTATATAAGAATATTACACAAATTTCTAACAAACTAGCTATGTGTAAGTTGGGATCCTCAGTAGGTGTTCCCCTAAATAGAGAATTCTGAACCATTTGAATAATGATAGGTTTTAACTAAAAATTATTTGCTTGGATAGTTAGTCAATTTATATTATCATGAATTCCATCATTTGCATACTCCCTAAGAGGTTTAGGATGGTTCTTATCTTGATTTAGATTATCCACTCCTTATGATACTATATTTTTCTATTTTTATTTTTTATAATGGTCATTTCAATTTATATTAAATGAAAAATGCTTCTGAATAACTCTATTATGTGTACACCGATTCAAAGATTCATATATAGTGTGGGGTTATGCGAGTGTTAGCCTTCATTATATTCATGAATAGTGTGTAATAAATATTAATATTCTTAGCTTTTCTTTGATATGAATTACCCATAGATACCCAAGTATATATTTCAACCAACTAATAAAGTCATTGAGTGAGTGTTGATCCCAAGAGGAAGTGTTCCGCTATATTGCAATTAAACTAGTACTATCTACTACATATGCAAGATTCATCCTACTAAAGAAAAGTGAAGGGTTTTGAGATTTTTCCACTTATATAGAATGCAAAATATGATGAGATACATCCTACTAATGCTACTAAAATATATTTTATACTAATGCTACTAAAATATGAAGTTTTACTAATTTGATTCTTTAATTATGAAGTGGATAAAAGCATATACATCCGTATATCTTTGTTGAGAATATATGAGTGAAAAAGGAGGTTTATGGCCTTCCTACAATTTGAATATATCCATAGAACCTAAAAATTTTAATATCCTATATTTGGGCATGCCAAAATTCTATTTTAATACTCTTATTTATTCTAATATTGCTTCGTAGAGGCAATATATTACACTATATATTAAGTACACACATGGCTATTATATACATTAAATTAAGAGCAAAATATATTAAAAACATCCAAAATTTCATTCAAATCATGAGAGTCTATATTAGTACTAGCACTGTGTTTACTTCTTTATCCAAAAACATAGAACTTTGGAAGGCAGAAAAATTAGAAAGCTAATATATCTTCATTTCACTCATAGATGAAAATATACATGAGAAATAATAAGGAAAAAGTTCACGATGATAATAAAAATGATTTATTTTCACTCCTACCTCCTCTAGTGGTACTGTTTCTTACACAAGATAAGCTAAGATCTCCAATGAAGGTATTTTACAACTTCCTATCCTCCCTTATACTTTACTTTAAAGGGGAACTAAAGAATTACATTTACAAAACTCTATTGAATGTGATAGAACTCCTAAAAAAAGAACTAAAATAACTATTTATAATAGGAATTGAAAGAGCCTCAAGTGCCATGATCCTAGACATGGTGACACCATGGTATTATAAGATGAATTAGAACCTCGGTGCTATTGGGATTGCTTTATTGTAGAACTATGCTGACTTGGCACATCTTTTCATTAAACTGACATAGCTTTTAACTAAATCGACATGTCTCCTCGGTTGGGTAACTTTCTATCATGATGCTATAAAACATGAGTATTCCTGCAATTTAATGTACAATCCAACACTACGACGTGGTGATTCTCGATGCTTTAGCACTCAATTTCTTTAGAATATAATGCTACAATGATATTTTTAGTTCAGTGATTTTGTTGAGTAGTACGATGGTAACCTTAGCTCCATCAGGGCACTACATTCCTAAACTACTAAAGTAGTCAGCATTATTATTCATGAATTAGGTATAAGGCATTATTTATAATAAAACTACAACGTTCAATCTATTGGCCTTATGGCATTGGTTCAACACTTGTGAATTTTAACCATTTTTTGAGATTTTGAGAACAAAAACAAATAAAATAACATGTTTTTGCTAAATTTAAATACCCTAAATAGAACAAAATTTACAGTTAATAATTTCCCCCTAGCTTAAGCTCTTGTTTATCCTCCAGCAATGGTGTAATCACGTAATGATTAACTTGATAGTACTAATAAGAAATGGTAATTTAAAATTACAAAAATGTAAGATAATGCATCATAGTTTAGAAGTAATTTGAAATATCAAAGTTGCGACGATAATTTAAAAACTCATAAATAATTAGTCTAAGTAATTATTCTTATTATTGCAGGTATTGAGCTTAAACAACACACAAATATAGGCTATGTAGAACTTAGAGAACATAGTAGATAATAATGCGGTAAAAAAATTTGGAAGCTTTTTTTAGAGAGAGAAGGTTCCAGATTCTAGAGAGAGAATACAACTTTTTCAAATTTCAAGTTGGCGTGTTTAACAGCCTTTCCAATATTGGTAAATGATCGTTGATCCTCATTGGATAGAGTTCCAAGGGGTGAAAAATGATCTTGTCTTGAGGTTCTTTGCTAAATTCTCAATCATTTTTTAAATCTCCATTGCCTGCATTCAGTGAAGATGTTGTAGGAGTCAGTTCCTCTTCTGTGATAATTGGTACTCGACCATGCTTCAATAATGGTAAACCTTTGACTATCAATGAAGGAGGAATATTAATAATGAAGAAGATTATTCTTGAAATTGGGAAAGGGAAGAAAGTTATAGTGGGGGGTTCTTCCAATTGCTGAAGAAGTATGGAGCTCCCAATAATCAGAAAATGTTTTTATGGTTCAACTTTGAAGCACCTTCTTCTTTTAATCAAAAATAATTGGTGGTTTAAGGTGTTAATTATTGTGAATCTAGATTCAAAAATTATAATTTCGATGATAGCAAATATTTTTTATACTTCTATTTTTCTATGCTACCTTGCCTACTAACATTTCAGGTCCATAAGATCAAATTGCAAATCAAGCTAGCTCAAGATTCGATAAATCAGGACTGAGTTAGTCTGTAAGTGCATGTCAAGGGTCGTTTTTCTTTTCTTGAGTAAAATGTAACAAAGTGGGTCCTAATGCTACGTAACCTTGCACACACACGCTCAGGGGATAATTCTTTCTATGAAAAGTTTTTTATTTTTGATCATATCATCTGGAACGATTATAATCATCTTGGACGATCAGTTAAAAATAGAAAACCTATTTAGGGCATTCTGGTTAAGGAATATGAAATTAAGTGAATCGTCCTGGATGATATTATTATCATCCTCAATGATAGGCTCAAATAAAAAAGAATTAGCTTTCAACTCTTTTAGGCATGTTTTATTTTTGGACATAATCTAGGACATCATCCTAAATAATGCATTACAATTATGCCTAAATTAGTTTGGTAATTTAAAAAAGTAATTAAGGTTTGATTGATTGATTATATTATCCTTGACAATTTAAGGATCTTCCGGAACGATCAATTATACAAACCTTATTACTTCCTGGATGATCAGGGTGATGTTCTGGATGATATGTGCTAATTTGTACTAATTATATAGGATATTACCAAATCATCCTGAATGACCAGTTATTTTTTCTATCATCCAAACATGCAAAGTTTGGCTGAATAGAATAATTGCCTGGATGATATTTAACATCTTGAACTAAACATCCCGGATGACCGTGAAATCATCTTGGATGATTAGTTATTTTTTCATCATCTAAACAGGTAAAGTATGGCCAAACAGAGCGATTGTCTGGATGATATGCAATGATTTTAAACTAATCATATAGGATAATGTCCTATCATCATAGATGATCAGAACAAATAAGTCCTTTAATTGTCCAGCCTCCTCCAATTTGTCATGCCTAATTGAACTAAATTTGTACTGATCATACAGGATGACCGATTGATTGTAATGGATAATCTTTGACAATTATTTACAAATTAGGGAAAATTTGAAGCCCTTCTATTTAAGATCTCTTATTTACTCAAGAGGTGATCTTTTTTTGCTAACCTAATATTAGAGAGCTAAAAGAAGAGGGAGAACTTTAGAGAGAGAGAGAGAGAGGATCTTGTGAGGGGGAGTTTGTGAGGGTTTCACAAAGGTTACTCAAAGTAAGGATCCAAGTCATCTTCTCTGGTCATCATCTCTGGTTCCTTGGAAGTTCTAGAGAGGTCTACTTCAGTGATTAATCAAGGTTCTCTACCTACTTCAGGAGGAAGCAAAAGGAGTTGGGTTCTCTACTTCACTGGGATCGGTGGAAAGGAGTTTTTATTCTGGCTACTCTACCTTGCTGTGCGGGCAAAAGGAGAGACACTGAGTTTAGTGAAATACTCAGAGGAGAAGCTCTGGGAAGTGGATGTAAATCTAATTGACTGAACCATTATAAAATTTGGTGTGTTCTTTCTTATTACATTTTTCACATATTATTTCTGCACTTTATTTTTTTGGTGATTGTGATATTGTTTGAGAAATTTTTAAAACACCAATTCACACACCCTCTCTTGGTTAGCCTCAGGCTAGTTCATAAGGGCTTAACATCCCTAACAATTTTTCAAATGGTATCAGAGCGGGATTCATAAAATTTAGTTTTTAAAAACTTTTGAATTTCGATCCATGACTAACTTCAATAATCATAATACAGTGGAAGGGTATTCTATTACTTGACCATCTTTGTTTGATAACATACTTATTAATTTTTGGAAAAAATTTACATCTTTGTTTTTACGATCAGTTGACTATCGTATGTGGATGCTTGTTAAGGATGGATATTCACCACTAACTCGTGAAATCAATGACATAAAAACTAAACTTTTCTT